AGTTATTTTCAATGTGCATGACATCTAGGTTGTGATGAATAAGCAGATGCTTCCAATATGGAAGCTCCCACAGTATGCCTTGCTTGAACCACCCCTTTTTTTCTTTTTTGAGGCGTTGAAGTGACTCGAGCCCATCTGTAGCCTTCGGAAGGTCTTTCACACATTCCCACAGCTCCTCTCCTGACATAATGTGTGGAGGTGCACCCTTTTCGACTTTGTTTCTGCAGAACGCAGTTCTACTATTCCGAAAAGGGCGATCTGTCGAAAGGAACTAGCGGTGGCAATCAAACCAAGAAACCTTACAACCATGTTCGAGCCAAAATGCTTTGCTTTTGTCCATGCAATATGGACAAGCTTTCTTACCAGATGTGGCCCAACCGGACAACATACCATAAGCTGGGAAGTCACTCACGGTCCATAGGATGGCTGCTCGAAGATTGAAATTATTTTTCATGGAAATATTGTATGTATGCGCACCAACTTCCCACAACTGTTTCAACTCATCTATCAACGGTTGCATGTACACATCCAAGTTGCCCTTAGGGTTTTTAAGACCAGGAACGAGCAACGAAAGGAACATAAATTGTCTTTTCATACACATTGAGGGAGGAAGGTTGTATGGGGTCAAAAAGACAGGCCAACAAGAATATTGTCCCCCAAACTTGCCATGAGGAGCAAAACCATCTGTACACAAGCCAAGCCGAACATTACGAGGCTCGGAGGCAAACTCTGGAAAGCAACTATCGAGGTGTTTCCAAGCTTCACTATCACTAGGGTGTGCCATAGTGCCTTGAACTCGAGGATTTTTCAAATGCCATGTCATCTCCTCCGAAATATTCTTGGTTGTAAACAGCCTTTGTAACCTGGGTGTGATCGGGAAATAAAACAAAACGTTCAAAGGCACTAGGCTACCCTTGGAAGTCTGCTTGTATCGATCGCTCCTACACGCCCTACATGTAGACAACTGATCATCATCCTTCTGAAACAACATACATCCTTTCGGGCAAGCGTGAATCCTTTCATGAGGCAGTTCCAAGCCCTTCACAATCTTCTTCACCTCATAGAATGTGTCGACCATTTGATTGTTGTTAGGAATTGTTTCACTGAGCAAAGAAACAAACCCATCAACACATCTGTGGGGCAGATTATACTCGCACTTTAGACTGGTGATTCTAGCGGCCATCTCTAATACAGACAACGAACTCCCTTCGTATAATGGCCTTTTAGAAGCCTTCAACAAATCCAAAAAATGCTTAGCTTGTGCATTAGACTCCTCCTCTGATGAAACACTAGCCTGCTCGGAATGCCCTTGATCCTGACTACCCCAACAACAGTCCACCAAATACCACCGACACCCCCACAATCCCACCCATACCAGCCCCCACCACCACCGACACCACCACACCACACCACCACGCAAACAACATACACCAATTAACCCCAAAAAATCGCAAAAAAAAATTAAACATCGAAAAAGAAAAAAAAAAACGAAAATTAAACATTGAAAAAGAAAAAAACCGAGAATCAAACGAAAATTATTCATCGGAAATTAGATCTACAAAAATTAAACACCGAAAATCACAAAAACGAAAATTAAAAGAAATAATAATTCGACCACTTACCTTGAATTCCATCAAAACCCCTAAATTAGCTTGAATTTGGGTTTTAAAGGTCAAATTCGACCATGAAAACTCTAGATTTAGGGTTTTCATGGTCGAATTTAACATGAAAAACCGGGTGGTGGTGTGTTGTTGCGCAGCGGCGGTGATGGCGGCTTCGTTGGGCAGTGGTGGTTGCGAAATGAAGGGGAAGGAGATGGAGGACAGAGAAACGAAGGCGTCTTCGTTGCGCAGTGGTGGTTGCGAAATGAAGGGGAAGGAGATGGAGGACAGAGAAACGAAGGCGGCTTCGTTGCGCAGTGGTGGTTGCGATGGAGAACAGAGAAACGAAGGGGAATTGAAGGAGGGAGGAGGAGAGAGAAACAAAGGGGAAGGAGGGAGGAGGAGACAGATACGAAGGGGAAAGAGGTAGGAGAAGAGAGAGATAGGGGAAAAGGAGAGGAGAAAGAGAAAAATAAAAGGAGGAGGGAGAAAAGGAGAAGAAAGAGAATAAAGAGGGGGGGTAAGGGAATTCCAGGTTTTTTTATCCTTTTGTTTTTTATTTTTTTTTATTTATTTATTTTTAATTAAAAATCCGTCAGAAAGGGGTAAAATCTGTCGCAATCTTCCGACGGATTTAATCCGTAGGAAATAAATATGTTCCGAGGATTTATTTTCCTTTGGAATTTTCAGCTACCTACGGAATTTTCCGTCGGAATATTTTCCCTCGGAACTTATCTTTCTGTTAACGGAATTTAAGTCCGTAGGAACAATTCCGTTGGAAAACGGCCTATTTCTATAGCTGATGTCATATCCCTAATATAATTGGTAATATTAATACATACAATGAAACAAACCTATTATTGATTACTTGTTTAATATTTCAATACCAACAATGTTCCCAAAAATGATAAGGCAGAGAAAAAAGAGAAGCAAAGCATCAGTACTGTATCTGAAAACCAGGGCATGTTAGACTTATCAAGTAATGCAGACAATCAAGGCTATATAAGTATTGAGATAAATGGACTGCAATGTCAAAATACAATAGTCACAAATATGATATGAAGTTCTAGAAAAAGGCGACATGAATATTGGCAGTAATGCAAGCATGGCTTCAGCAATGAACTCAAGTGCAGATATATGACTGATATACATGCAGGAGCTAAACGTGATAGTTTGGTCAATAAAAATGTTGATGGCTCTGCATTTGAGTAGAACATTATTCAGACAAACTCCCTTTTAGAATGACTTCAATGAAGATATTTGTTCACTCAAAATTAGGTGTTGGTAAAATTAAAATCTAACTTATGAACTGTCTTTCACTTTTGAACAATAAATAAGTCTTACTAATATGCTTGCTACATAATGGTTTGTAATGTATGTATGCACTCTCTTTAGGTAGATCAATACTCTCTGCAAGTAACTTAAAATACTTGCTGTTGTTTTGTTGAACATCTATAACTTAAAATAATATATTAATTTATATTCCTAAGTTCGTAATGAGTATTTCCACTCTTTGTTTAATAGAATTAAACTTAACTATCCATATCATTTTATTATTAATAACAATGAGTAATGTGTTATTCATATAATGAATAATGAGTATTTTTATACCATTTGTATATTTTATAATCTTCTTGGTTATATAATTCTATTATATACCAATGGCAAAAGTAAACCACATTTAATAAATTACTACTCAATAGAAAGAAATGTTGCAATAGTATGGAAATATAACTTAGTAACTTTCAAAAAAAAAAAAAACTTATTCATTTCAACTTTCTATTCTAGGCAAATAAAATTAATATTTCAATCAAATCTACAAGTTAGGTAATCCAGCTTTCTCCCAAAAAAATTACTATATACTATATATCATATAATTATATTATCAAGAAATATAACTTATTATAAATTAGCTTGATTCTATTAGCAATGATTCATAATTACTATTATCTTATTAAGGAATGCAAATTATTATTAATTAGATTCACTCTGTTAGCAATTATTCATAATTACTATGTATTAAGTTTTTTATGAAAAATTCAATTTCTCACTTAGATAATTTAATTACTTTTTAAAATGTTTACAATATACTTTGCACTTATATAATTCTTAATAATTAAGAATACCTGCAATTGAAATTACTTAGCTTCATATTTATTGCTTATTTATCTGTATCTTGTTATGCTTTATAGTACTAATTGTTGTTCAAATTAATGAAATTGTATCTGAATTTTGAAGTAAGGAAAACAATAGTAAAATAGCCTTTGTATATTACATGTTAGATCATTTACAATTATAATTATCTAGAATTGTTTTGTTTTCGTTTATATAATTAAGTTGTTATTTGAAAAGCCCCTTCCTTATTTCAAATTAATATGCTTAATCTAATTTGCTTATTTCAAACGTTAACTCAAATTTACTCAATCTGAGAGTACGACCAATTTGAAAAATACACTTGAATTGATGTATAATTAATCTTTAATTAAATTCAAGTAATCTCAATCGCCCAGAATACATAAGATTCATTTGAAAAATACACTTGAATTGTTTTATTATTGCTGTGTATAATTATTCATAATGATAATGGAGAGATTCAATTTATAGTTGTCAATTACAGAAGTACTTGTTAAGTGCAAGAATTTTCCATTGGTCAACAGAAATTAAGTTCATTGACTTTTACTCAACTTCAGTTTCATATAAGCAGGGAAAATATGAAACCAGAATTCATGTATGTAGCTGATCTGAATCCTGAAGTTGAGGAATATAGGGTCAGAGTGAAAGTGTTGAATATAACAAACCGAAATCTTGATACGGATGATTGCACTTTCTATCGAACACTTCTATTTTGTGATGAAAGGGTATATTTTGGTCTTATTCAACTGATAATTCAGTTATTGCTTTATACGACTTGCGATTTTGCTGAAATAAGCATTACATCGTACCAAGCTCAATTTCAATTATAGATTTTTATATAATCAATAAAATATGCAATAAATGATCCTGCAAACCTTACTCTTTTTACAGTTGCAGTAGACTTTAAATTTAAACTTTGCTAGCTTATTATATGTGCTCAATAGAAGAAAGTACATTAGTTAATAAGGACACCTTGTAATGATATAATCATATATAATAGATACAAAGTATATATTTAATGGAAAGTCGAGCAAGTTTATCTTTAACAAAGTGCATGTATATCTTTAAGATAGCTATTTACCATTTAGAATAATTTATGAACTCTGCTTTATGTACTATGTAAAGTTACTAACAATTGAAATTGACAACTATGATGCATTAGGGAACCACGATTCATGGACGTTTGATCGAGGATCAAATAGATAGTATTGGACATGAATTCTACTTTGATGGCCATTATGAAATATCCAACGCTCCAATAAGCCAATGCCTAGGCACTTTGAAATAGTTGTCATCAATAATCCTTATCAACTAACCTTTGCTGAAAACACTCTGGTGCAACCAATATGTTCGATAACTGGTGAAATTGAACCTGAGTTTGAAGCAATATCTGCAATAGCTAAAGCTCATTTCTTAGATGAGATTTGTGGTATGCTACATTAGTGTACTTATTGCCTTACATACCTACTTATATATGTTATCCTTATATTATCACTCACATGGTCTTGTACAACATCTTATTCAATGCAGAACTTTAGCCGACAGGTACTGTAGCAGATGATATTTGCGAAGATGCTACCTATGGTATATGAAACATATGTTAAATGAACTTTACCAATCCTATATGCTCGGATTCTGACCATAAATTCACTAATACCTACAGATGTATTGGGAATAGTTCTCTTTGTAGAGAACGAAGTGCCTTTGGTTGATTCTTTTTATGGACATAAAGCATATGTCAGAGAAGTTGTTATAACATATCAAACGTAATCCTAATGCTATACCATTTATTCATCAGAATTTAGTTTTATGATCTATACTTGATACTTCATTCAATTAATTACACATTTTATAGGAACACACAACCAATCATTGTTAATGTTTGGAATCACCTTGCTGGAAGTGCTTGTGAGAAAATGAATGTGTGGGCTGCAAAATTTATAGTAGTTGGTTTTACATTAGTGAAGGCCTGCGGTTTGAAAGGTTAGCATGTATGTGCTAACATGTACATTCAACCTTAAACAATTATTATACAACAAAGATACATTGCAATACTAACTATCCTGTACTTTAAATAGGTTTCTCTCTTTCATCTGGAATGGATACACGAATAATATATGAGCCAAAAGGAGATAGAGCTAATGTCCTACGTGTATGGTATGAATGTTTCCACATATCAGTCTATGTGCTTACAATATCTCTATTACCTATGTAATTAGCATATCATCTTTGTAGGTCAAACCTTTATGTACAAAGGGTCCTAGATCGACAAGGTAGAATTCTTCAAGTCCGATATCCTGAAAATCCACAAGAGACTGTGACAGTTCAATATCTCAAAGAAAAGAAGGTTGTTATCCCAACATTAATAGAGATATATGCACTAATACTTCCAGTTTGTTAATCTATAGCAAATTCTAACTATATAACTTCAATATAGGTACAAAATGCATTGCAAGATGAAAGCCATTGGCTGCCAGCAACTATACCATATGCAAATTTGGAACAACTGACCATATATACAGGATGCTTGAAGTGTGGAAAACCAACAAATTTACCCAAAGGAAGACAATATGCCTGCACAAAATGTTATGCCAAAAAAAGAGTGGCTTGTATCAGGTGAAATAGTCATACAAATCACAACTATAATCTTATTATTATATATAGAGTATGTTTAAAACCTATCTAATATGAAATCATGTGCAGGGTTGCTTTTACATTTGATGCTGTAGATAACAATGATATCATATCACTTACAGCATTTAACAATGAGGCTGAAAAAATCTTAGGAATGCATGCTGAGCAGATATATGCTATGAAAGAAAATGTATGTGCACTACTTGATACAATAATTTACATAAAAATTGACTAAGCTATCCCTATGTCATTTTATGGTAGTTCAACAATCACTATACCAGTGCTTCTCTTCTATACTTATATAAAAATATGTAAATTCTAACAGGAAGATCACATCTCTTTTGAGAAGGCAAAGCAGAATTTCAGCTCAAAATTACTACATCTAAAGGTTGCTCCTATACCAGCACTAACTGCAACTAACAAACTACAATGGTCATTAGAGGCAGTTATCATTAAGGGAAATATGCGTGCCATTGCATACACTGACACTTCTTCAGGTGCCACAAGCAATGAAAGGATAGATACACACACATCATCCAAACAGAACACCATTATTGACTCAATGGAAGAAGATAAAACTATGAAAGAAATCAAAGGCAACACTGATGACACCAGCAGTGCTACTGATGGGACGGTATCATCTACCACAGGTGTTAAAGACTATGGTAAAGGAGCATTCCCTAACTAGTCAATTCACAAGCGCTGTCACACTTCTCTAGAAAAAGCACTGAAATTCAGATTGCAATAACAAACAGCAACTCAGCATCAAGTGCACGGACTCAAGTTTAACCCACTAATATTATAACCTTAGGTAAAAACCTTCTTTTGTCTGTAGTAAAGTAACAAGTCTTCCATTTCTATGCTGCATTTTGCTTATTCTACAGCATAGTAGTTTAGAAGAATTTAAACCTGGTTTAGTAAGATATGCAGCTTTTGAAGGGTTATGAAGGAACATAAATATTATCTTATGTTCCTACTAACACTTTTAGTGGTCTATAGAAATTGTACTCTGGTTTAGCAAGATGTAAATCTTTTGAAGTGTTATGAAAGAACATAAACGTGATCTTGTGTTCCTGCATAACACTTTTGCTCTTGAACTCTAGGTATTCTGATGTAGCTAATAGGTTATGTAGTAACGTCTAAGATATTTCTAAATATTTTGAGGGTTTTCAATGAATATGTAACCTAGATCATTCATATTATATATTATGTACATAATCATCTGTAATGAAGCAATAATAATAGTATCTTGTTGTTAAAGTCAATGGTCTATATGATTAGAGAAATGCAAAATTGTTAACACAACAACTACATATAAAATTTAAGGAAATTTATGAGTCCACATATTGTTGTGGATCTTAATATACCCTCTAGCGAAAGATTTGTGCTAAATCTGCATGATTGAATGGTTAAAGGCTTTGAGGAAACTTCCTTAACCATTGACACATGACAATAGACCTGAAGCCGAGTAATGTGTTAGCTTAAAAATCAAATTAATAGTCAATAGAGAAAAAAGACGAGGAAAAGTTTTGGATACATAATTTTTTTTTTTTTTGAGTAAAATAATCTATGAACTGCTAAGATTAAAGTTCTATGATTGCCTTATTGCTACTTTACAGCTTTGTTACTTCTAATCAAGATCAAGTTTCTTTGTTATTTTTTGTGCAGAAATGTTGGCAAAAATATGCACATAAATTTTTTTAATTAGATTGCATCTTCCTTTCCTGAGATTGAATTTTATGATTTGGGATAACACACATTTTATAACAAGAAACCTTAAAGTAAATTACAACACATAGACATAAAATAAATATTACAGTAGCTGCATCATTATAGGGCTTACAAGTTGATAAACCAACAAGTATTTAAATTATATGATGCACTTCTGCTACACACTAATCATCACTATCAGAAATAGCCTCAATTCCTTTCCTCTTAGAAGACATTATCAATTTCGGAACAACCTCAACTAGATCACCATAAGCATAGTCATAGTTGATACTAGCAATATCTCTATCAAGCTCTTTTGCATCAGAGTGAATAACTATTGCTTTGTTTTTACTTATATCTTCGTTGTATTTTCCTTTCCTTTTGATGCGTCCATCACCTTATGCTAACACACTAGATTCTTCATTAATATCACCTTTTAGAAGCTCTAAATATGCAAACATTTCCTGTGAAATATCAGCCATATACTTGAGAAAACTAAACACCTTTTTCAATGGACTTTCTTCAGGATCAGGAATCCAGATCTGAGGCACAAATGAATAACATGATGATGGATATTTATCTCTCACCATATGTATAAGGAAACTAATAAGAAAACAAATATAAAATAACACAAAGTAAATATTGTACATATAGGACACTTACTTGAGGCTCAAGGTTATAAACCTTTACCTAAAAAATCCTGTTGTATACTTTACCACTATATACTTAGCCCAGAAGCAAAAGAACTATGCAAAAACCACAATTACATAGTTGCAAATATATAATTGAATCACTTAAATATGTATAACATCAACATTATACTCAGCAACACTTTTACCATTATTTTCTCTTTTGTTTTCTCAATTATTACCATTATTCTCTCTATAAACCTTATTAAATTTCAAATCTTCTAGAAAATATGTTTATCCTTCTTATCATAAACATGTACACTTAACTCAATGAAGGCTTTAAATACAACACAAAATCACCAGTGGATTAACTAATACAACAATAATGTTAAAACCAACTTTGTTTCATTATTCCTCCTTTGATACAATACAAGTATACATAATCACCAATAATAACAATCCATGCTTTAAAAACGAATGTCTAAAACAAACAATTAATTGAAATACATTAATTATGAACATTCTTCAAAAAAGGAAACATCCTTACACATTAGCTCTATGCCAATCCAAACCTTTATACTAATAACAATCATAATTCGCTTACAAAATCAATAAGCATAAATCAATTTAACACATCTTAAACTTGAATATTGCTACTCCTAATCTGACCAAATCTATATGCAGCAAAGTCTTCATTACTCACTTCAGGATATTTATAATGTAATGGATATCCATCATCATCCTCAAAGCTGAATTTTTTCACCTTTGGATCCTCCTCCTTTCCTTTTTCATCCCCTTCTTCCTCATTTACATTCTCCCTCTTCTCTTGTTCTTCAGATTCTGCATCCTCATGAAGTAAAGGTTGCTCTTCCTCCTCATTTCCTTGAATTCCATTCCTCTAACCAGCATTGTCAATAGCCCTACCCACATACAATTGCTCAGTTTGAACCACTCCCTCATCGGAACTAATATCCATAACAACTTCACCTTTCACCCTAGCCTAAATTAAATCAAGTTAATCTCAAGTTAGATAACTTGAAATCAGATTGGTTTCAATTCAATTAATTTAAAATACAAAGTTTCATTATGCTAAGTTTCATTTACTTACTAAAGTCCATTTGAGATTTAGTCAATCATGATTCACATACTTTTCATATGAAGCTGAACTTTGGTTAGATTGATCAAATTTAATATTCAAATAAATATATTTAATCTTAATTTTTCAATCTTATTATTAAGTTGAAATCGACTTATTCATATGTCATTTTGCCATATCATGCCATTTATATGTATTTAGGTACAAAAAAAGGGAAATAATAATATAATTTTTACATCATGGATAGTTTAAAATCATGGCAAACCAACATCCAATCAAAATTAAATTCCATCAAAGTACTATCAATTAAGATAAAAAAAAAAACAAATGGAATTAAATCATCACCATGGTCTTTCAAAATAGATATGTAATATGATAATATAAATTTCACATGGATATAATAAACTCTTTCACTTAGCCTAAATTGAAACTCACCAATTGTTGATACTCACCAATTGTTCAAACTTTCAACTAAATAACAATTAATTATAACCCCACTATTTTATGTTGTTACTGTAGTATTTAATAATTATAAAACATTGATTTCCCCTAATTAATTATAGCCCATGTTCTTAAACACACGTATTTCTCCTAATTAAACCTCTTGATTTGGTATAGGTTGAATGCCTTACTTGTTAATTGTTTCTTTGCTTTTTTCTCCTTTATTTGTTTTAAAACCTTTAAAATTTAAAATACATAACAATAATTTAATTGTTAGTGCTTTCCAACAGTTACACATAACAAAAAGAATTAAGTATGGGAATTTAAAAAGGGGTAAATTCTTTTTAGAAAATAATTAAGTATGGCATTCTAACATTTTCATTTTCTCTTTTTCTTTTTCCTCTGAGCTTTCTATCTTTCATTCAACGAAACGTAAAATTGAATAATTTGAAAATTTATACTCCTACAAATTCAGAGAAATTGGTTGAACTGTTGAAGAAGTTGGTACTACTTGTCGCAAGGTGAAATCTCTATCTCTTTTTATAAGAACCCTAAATTTCAATTGTTTTGAAGCTTGATTTAATTTTAACTGATTTGAACTATCATATTTTTTCTTAATAACCATTAAGCAAATGGAGTCGGTGTTTATATAAAAGAAATAGAAGCAACTTCCATCAAATGAAGCTTACTCCTACCGAACGACTTGGGAAAATGTGCCAATATGTAATTTTTTTTTTATGAAAGTTAAACATTTGGAGAATTTTACATGTTGGGTGAAAATGAAAGGGGTTTAAAACACTTTAGATTTAACTCAAATAGGTAATTTTAAATTTAAATTAGATGTACGAAATTAAATGACAATAAAAATCTAAAAGGAAATATATGTCTTAATCTGAAAAAACAAGAATCAGGAAAAAGATATGCATAGAAATACTACGAATATTAGTACCTTTTTATATGGACTTGCCATGTTCATATTGAACCAAAAACAATGAATATTCCTTTCGTTTCATAAAATTTAATTTTATTTACACAATGTTCAAAAAAAAAAAAAAATAGATTACCAAAATTAGTATATTTACATAACCTTTTATAAATTAGTAATTGTAATCACTTATTTAATGAGTTCGTTAGAATAACTATGGTGTCATAATAATATTGCCTATGCCTTTAGTGAAATGATAATTTATTTGGCCCTTCCCCTTCTCCTCTAATCAATTCATTTGCCTTTTGAAGAATTTTTTTCAAACACTCTCTTCGCTCTTCTTCCCCATCTTTTCTACTCCGCACTCTCATCTCCTTCTCCATAATAATAAAGCAATGTGGACAAGTTGTTCTTCAACTGCAAGCAAAAGGTAATCTATCTTTTTGCCCTTTCATTTATTATTTTAACTTACAATTTAATCAATTTGATGTTCATCTTTATAAACGAAAAGGTTATACTGAATAGATTATGGTTACTAGCCTGAACATTTTTTGCAATCCTACCTTCCACCATCAACTTAAGAATTTCCTACAAGGTATATCAAAACTGTTAATAAATCCTATTGATTGAACTTGAAATAAGCACATTTACAATAACAACAAATGCTTCCAATAAGCACAAAAGGAAATGTTTTTTGATATCCGAAGCAACTTACAAGTAGCTTTTTAACAATAAGTTATTGTTTAAAGCTTATTCTTGTCATGCTGCATTTCACAGTGCATTCCTACAAATTGCTGATGTTACATGATGTGTGTATAGATATAGCTAATGTTGTGTGAATTGGATTCCATGTATTGAGTATTTAAATGTTAGAAGTGGTGCTTTAG